ACTGTATTCACAGGAAGGTATAAGAATCTACAGAATGAGCTTAATATCCAAAAAATGTATCCATATTGCATTCATTGCAGATTCACTTCATAAAAATATGAATTTTTACAGGCATTCATGATCTACTATCACAAAAAATAAACCAAGTAAATAATTTTCAATTAATCAAATCAAAGGACAATAATCAGGTAGATATTGACATATTGCGATAGAAGGAGAAGTACATATATCATTTATTGGATCTCGATTATAAAAGTGCATAACTCGTAGTATATAATCGTGCAATCATGCTGATCTTCCGGAATGAAATTGTAGCGGTGTCCCGAGACATCGACTTATGACTTCATTGACTTCTCCGGCACATTCGATCGAGCGTTATGAACGACGATCGGGGCCCGGAGAAACCCTCATGGGGGCCAGTAAACCGCTCCGCTACGCCTTATTATACTTAATCGCGGTGCGCGCCCGAAGCGCGACGTTCTCGCGATTGCTGGAATGTCGTCCGATCACTTGCTTGCCGGTCTATCAAGGCCGTTGGGAAATGAAAATCGTTCCTTTCTGACCGACTGATATCTTACGGTCTTACGGAATCCAAAAGATGTGTAACATTAACGAGCATTTACAAGCGAACGGGAAAAGGGCGTCGATGGTAGGTAAATACCGGTTAATGTATCTTGTACATGTGAAAAACTGGTTCACCGAGACGTTACAGTCCACGATAATATGATAATATGAAATTGTACACTAAATTGTGGCAGTAGTGTCGGTGAATTAGATCCTAGATCGGTCGGTAATTTATCTACACATTAGCTTCCTAATAACTGAACAAACAGTTATATATCTATTAGACAAATATTAGAAAATTCAATATTCTATATTCATTAATATTTAGTACGCTTATTTTTACACATTTCTTATTTCATTTTATTTTAGTCTGAGAGAAGCTAAAGGGAAAACGAGGATTCGAGTGTAAAGGATAAAATATGGCACCTGTGGTGTGTGGATGCAGGTCCCTAAACAAGATTGCAGAAGAAACGATGCACTTCATAATCATTCTCATTTCCATACGGAAGTTATCTATTACCCTGAACGTGAGCATCGAGCCATTACGTTCCATTTAATTAACAATGTGGCGAGCAAGCGTCAATCTCGAAGCGCCTCGTGCAACGATGTAAAACACGCGTTAAAATCAATCATCGTGGATTCATCCCGGTGAACAACGATTAGCCTGCGGGTGAGCAAACAAATGTTTCCACGATGCGCGTTACACGTCAGGGCAAATAGACTGTACCTTCCGTCACGTAATTCGTGGTCGTGACGCGCGCCTCGTATATATATATATATAACGATCGATGTGATCATTCGATAATAACAGATTCAAGAACATCCAGCAGAGAGTGGACGCTAGCCACATCATCGTCCCGATTATCAATTTCGCCACCTAATGTATCATCAATGCATCATCGCTGCGAATGCTCTCCGGGATAAGTATTGATAAAAGAGCACTTTGGATCATGTATCCCTCATCCAGGCACGCTTACAATTCTACCGCGCGAAGTACAACGTGACGTGTAATTTTGCTTCTCGTTTTCTTTCAGATCAAAGAGAAAGACCAAGTCGAAAGTTAAGTTCTTAAAAAGAGATAACCTTGACTTTCTAATCTTTATAGAAAAACAAAAAAGAAACTAATGTAAAAGTGATTGACGATTCATTTCCAGGCTTGCGATGCAGATCATTTCACTGCTTACAATTAGCGCGTTTCAACCACTCTCCCGTGTTCGAGAGCCTCAGCAACTGGACGAACAGCGAATTGGAAAAGCCAGCAATTTTTGGATGGCTTTGGACCGTTCGGAGAAGTGCATCTATTATCTTTCCCGTTGGTATTTCGCTAGAATTTCATCGACATACGACGGATCAATCGTCGAATTTCCAACTGCATACCGATCACGTTATAAAGCGGCCAAAGTATCAACGCATGGCAACGTATGAATAATGAATGAGCCTCGGACTGCATAGTAAGACTCTCTCTGGGAATACGGTACTGTTACATCCAGCGAAAAGGTGGGGTTGCACAGTTAAAACTCGTGCAACGAGACAACCGGTCAATAAACAGGCATAAAGGCGACGGCGTTAAATAACCGGTACTCGTTCTATCGGCCGATTGCTTTTTGTTGTAGGCCACAGCACGTCAGCTCGAGTACCACTCTGCCGACCAGCGAAACGGCTAATGTTCTTGTTCTCTTCTTTTTTCCCTCGTCTTGCCTTCTTCTTTCTGTTTTCATTCTTCTTCCCCTTCTTCTCTCTTCTTCTTCTTATTTCTTCTCCCTCCTCCTCGACTCTTTCACTCTTTGTCGAGTTCGATCGAAGGGACGTTCGATAAAAATATTTTTTGGACTCTGTTGCCACAATATATATATATATATATAATATATATATATATATAAAAAATCTATTCTTTCGTCATTAAAGAATACGTCATCAAACTCTACTTCTCAGTCGACAGAACGGTATTTAAAAGGATTTAAATGCCATCGTGCGGCGCACGTTCTAAAGATCGCATGTATGTATTTAACATCTATGAAGTATCGAATCTTACACGGTGAACTAGTTCCGTCGACTAAGTAACGAATACCGATCGATTAATTCCAAGGATCTTTTCCAGCAACTTTTACGCACCATTTTCTCGTTGGACAGGTTGCCTCGGGTGTATGTCGACGGTGTAAGTCCTTAAATGCAACCATGCTCGTCCGATTATCTGTTCATTCATTTCGCCTAATTGCGAACACCGTTATCAGCCTGCTCTACGTCTGAGGCACGCTTTATCTGCAGTTCGTTTCATAGAAATATCACGTTGCAGATAACGTGCGAATAAATTCGCAACTGTGGCCCGAAAAGGTGAGCGAATTGAGCTTATATTGAAAAGAGATATCGGACCAGAGATTGAAGCTAAAACAATAAAATAATCGTACAAAGACTATGGAGAAAATTGAAAAATGAGACTAATTTCAAGGTAAGAAATTGCTTTGATCTTGAAATTAATCACCAGGGTGGAATTGCTAAACTTTGGATTAATTATTGGAAAGGAGTTGCCTGGCTTCATTTCTTTGGGGCAACATGGAGTGAATTAAGAGACAAAATCAATCCCATCGGGAATATCGTGGTAAACAACGGGGTCTATGGACTGTGCGAAGCCAATGGAATGGCACTAGACGTTCTTAATGCATTTAACGTGGAATGCAACTCCTACGTTCACTGGATCGACCGGCACAGCACCACGGACTCGACTGCGAACGCTCGTTTCGCCCGACGTTAAAA